ATGCACCACATAAAGGAAAAAACTTGAACATTCTTGAAATGAAATATTATTTCTTGCTTTTCGAAATTAGCATAACATAGAGGACACTCATAATTATCTGTTTGATTGACCTCAGATGTGTGAATTTTATTTTGATGATATTTCACATTTTTTAAGTCACTAAATTTGAGATGGCAGTTATCACATCTGTAGTTTAGTGATCAATCACTTTTTAAAGAATCAATTAATCCAGTATTATTAGAGTGTAATTTATTTGAGTACTTTTCCATTTCACCAGCGCAAATCTCGCCAAGCAGACTTTATTGGCGACAACACACACACACAATAAAAAGTGTTAACAAATGTTAGTTCTAAGAAATTTTCATTTTGAAGGTATGAACATTTTAATATGGCTTAAAATTTTGTAAAAAGACATTAATTTAAGAATTTGCTACGCTTTCACGGTACAACAAAAATCGGTACTTTTCCGTTTTGCCGGCGCAAGCGATAAAGTCGCCAATAATGGTACAACCAATGCCAAACGGAATATTCTCGCTGGTAACCTTTTATGCCTCATTTTCGAAACAAGTCGCAGCTTTTTCTTATCAGATTGATTGTTTCTTTCAATACTGACATATAATTACATAGAATTTTTATCAGATAGTTCAGTTTTATGTCTAAGGCCATTTTTTGGTAATTAAGTCAATTAGGATGCAATCACAGTGCTTACCCGAAGCCGAAAATATAGAAAAGGTAAAGTCAAGGGTTAAATTCATCAATTCTAATGAGAATGCATTAGCGAAGTAAAGCACTGCAGTTTTCCAACTTTTCTGAGTAAGCTATTCGTACGAATTAAAATATTTCTTGAATTTAAACTTGTGTTCCAAATTAAGATTTAACTTGAAATTAATGTAGATAATTACTGAGAGCATTAGATTTTTGTAGAATAGTGCGTGAGATGAGCTCGCTTGGGGTCACGTGATATGAACGGGCGAACCAGGATGTTGAACCATGAAAGCATAGTAAATTCTTAAATTAGTGTCTTTTTATAAATGTATTGTCTTTATTTATTGGCTTTTTATAAAATTTTAAGTGATATTAAAATGTTTATGCCTTCAAAATAAAAAATTCTTAGAACTAAAATTTTTTAAATATTTTTTATGTGTATACTGTATGTTGTCACCAATAAAGTCTGCTTGGCGAGATTTGCGCCGGCGAAACAGAAAAGTACCCAAAAATCTAATTCTCTCAGTAATTATCTACATTAATTTCAAGTTATATTTAAATGCAAGAATTATTTCAATTCGTATGAATAGCTTATTCCGAAATTATGTAAAACCGCAGTGCTTTACTTCGCTAGTGCATTCTCATTAGAATTGATGAATTTAACCCTTGACTTTGCCTTTTCTATATTTTCGCCTTCGGGTGAGTGGTGTGATTACATCCTAATTGACTTAATTGCCTTAGGGTATAAATTTGAACTATCTGGGTCAAAATTCTATGTAATTTGTATACCAGTATTGAAAGAAACAATCAATTGATAAGAAATGGCTGCAAATTGTTTTGAAAATGAGGTGTAAAAGATTACCAGCGAGGATATTTCGTTTAGTATCGGTTGTATCATTTTTGGCGACTTTATCGCTTGCGCCAGCAAAATGGAAAAGTACCTTTATTTGCATGGTGTTTCACACTGTATTTCTTTTTGAAAGTTTTAAAGCAATCAGGCATACAGAATTACTCTCAGCCGCACTAAAATCATTTGCACAATCAATTGCTTTCAATTATGCAGTCTATCAGTTCCATAGGAAGCGAGAGCCATTGCTCTTGCAAAGCAGTTGCAAGCGCAACAAGGGCTTGAGAGGCGGATTGAGAGCAGCTAGACGTCTCTCTAAAGCATCCCAAACGTGCTCGATAGGATTCAAGTCCAGGGATCGAGCTGGCCACTCCGTGCGCATAATTGTTTTCTCTTGAAGATAATCATCTACGATGAGAGCCCTGTGTGGTCTTGCGTTGTCATCGTGTAACAGGAAAGCATCACCTATTGCCTCAGCATATGGGCGCACATAAACATCAAGGATGTCATCTCTATAAATCTGAGCATTCACGGTTCCCCTTGGAAAGACATGGAGGTCTGTGCGTCCACTCAAAGAGATGCCACCCCAAACACAGACCCTTCCGTATGCATCTCTTTCACGGATGTTTGAGGGATGATAACGGGTTCTAGGTTCTCTCCATATCAAATAACGCCTACTATCGCTTTCTAGACTAAACCTGGACTCATCTGTAAAGAGAACCGTCCTCCATTGATCAGGCGTCCAGTGGACCTTTTTTTTTTTTTTTTAAACATTCATACTACAACCACATGTCACAATAAACTGAAATAAAAATATTTGTTAACAGAATTTTTTTCAACTAATTAAATTGTAGTGTTACTACACATGTACTACTTCCGTTTCTGAGAACGTAGCGTTACTTTTATTTTTTAATCACATTCAGAGAAAGGTATTACAGCTTTAACCCTCTGAGCATTATGACTGGGTTTATGCAATCATCAGAAGTTTTGCAACTTGGTATATATTAACTTATAATTTAAGATATTTTGCTTTGTTTAATAATATAAATATCATCTTAATGAATGTAAGTTTATGAAAATATAGACTGAAATAAGTAATTATACAAACTAAATTAATAAATCCTGGTCTTCACGACGGATCTAAAATCCTGTGCTACTCAGAGGGTTAAAACAACACTGTCATTTTTGCAGGTGCCTTTTTTGTTGCATACTAAGTTCCAATGCTCTTCACAAGTAACTGGTGACAATTTTTTTATCTTAAATGCAATTATAAAATATGCACTTTCTGGATTTGCCTGTTGTAGCAGATGTATTTTTCTGAAAAATCATTAAAGAAAACATTTGCGATGAAATTTCCATTAAAGAACTCACTTACAAGCAGGTTTATTATGACTGATTTTAGGCATTTAGATTACATAACCAAAAACATACAATATGTATGTGTACAATAAATTCTCGGCTGATCTTTGGAATATGGTAACTGGTAGTTTGGCGACATTTTGAGGCGATAAAGGTTACTACCTAGGACTTTGGTTATAATGTGAGAAGTACTCAGTTTCGATTACGCATTATTTTGTGTGAGGGAAATGAGAGATCATGAGATATGTCATGTGACATTAATGGACGAATTACAGTTCTTTAATCGGAAAAGGGGGGGATCGGGAAAAAATCTGGAAATTTTGTATTTAGCTTTATTCCGTGTTGTGTGAAACAGTGTTCGTTAATTTTTGGATCCCATGGCCCTAACTAAAGTGAATTCGAAATGGGTATTTAGTGGGATTGAAAGGGGTAGTAATAAGTGTTTTTTTAAGGTTGTGCGAGATAGAAGTAAAGATGTTTTATTAAGTTATTTATTTTACCTAGTACCTTGCTGTGAACTATAAGTATGATTTTAAAGATCCTGAAACAGGTGCACATATGCTTGCTTTTTATTTAGCGGAGGAAATAAGAAAAGTTTATCGGACACATAATCAAGATTCTGAAGAAGATTAGATAAGTTAGTATTTTTAATTATTTGAGGATATTATTTTCATGCATTGTTCTAAATGTAAGGAGTAAATAAAATAATATGGTATTATTGGAAAATTGTTATTAGCAATGATTTTTATATTTTAAGTAGTGTTTTTGAATTTTATTTTAATTAAATGATAGTTATTTTGTGATTTATATGTTTGTAGGAATTTGGTATACATTTCAGTGGAAGTAAACGTGCATGGAAATAATTTAAATATTTGACACTAAGTATTTGTAACCATTTGTAATGTTTGAGGTATGAATTCGTTGGTGACGTTTATAATATAATAGATAATTTAGAGATAAAAGTTTTTGGATATTTTATTTATTTTATAGGTGAAATGTTCATCTTTGGAAAGGGTATATACTTTTTCGCGATCAAGTAATTTCATATATGTTCTTTTTACCGGATTTAAAGATTCACAAAATTTTCATGCATTTTCGTGAAATTTTTCAAATTTATGAGAAAAAAGCAGTGTACATGGATATAGTGAAGAGTGTGCGCAATGCCATTTTTGTGCAATTCTGGGATGTTTTTTAAGTTGACGTGTACATGGTTTAGTGATATTTTAATTAAATGATAGTTATTTTGTGAATTTTATGTTTGTAGGAATTTGGTATATGTTTCAGTTGAAGTAAACGTGCATGGAAATAATTGAAATATTTGATACTAAGTATTTGTAACCATTTGTAATGTTTGCGGTATGAATTCATTGGTGACGTTTATAACATAATAGATAATTTAGAGGTGAAAGTTTTTAGATATTTTATTTATTTTATACGTGGAAATGTTTATCCTTGGAAAGGGTACATACTTTTTCGCGATCAGGTAATTTCATATATGTGCTTTTTACCGAGTTTAAAGATTCACAGAATTTTTTTGCATTTTCGTGCAAATTTTTGTAATTTATAAGAAAATAGCAGTGTAGATGGATAAAGTTAAGAGTGTGTGCAATGCCATTTTTGTGCAAATCTGGGATGTTTTTTTAAGTAAAAATAAGTCGATGTGTAAATGGTTTAGGTGTATGTGCTATTCTGAAAAACGTGCAAGGAGTTTGCGATTGTGCACTTTTTCCCAATTTTGCACCTAATCTTCATCATGATTAAGCATTTTTGTTCCATAAAACTTCTAGTATAAGTGTAATTCGGCTAGTAGATTGTTGGAAAAAGTGTTCAGTAAATAAAAAGAAAAGAAACATGTCTTTACTTCATGAAGACAAAATGGCGGCAAAAACAAAATAGAGGGTTGCTGTAGCAGAGTTGGTCGCCAAATTTTCGCCAAAACATCGCCAAGTTACCATAATTCAAAGATCAACCAAATTCTCTTTTGCAGTTATAATTCTTTTCTTTTTATAAAAAATTGCAAACTGCACTAAGATAATTCCACTAATGTATAAATAAAAACTTCACAAAATTTGAATTTAAAACTAATAAATTCTGTATAAAGCACTTTGTTTAAAAATAGTCTTGAATCATTTTTTATACATGATTTATACAATCAATAAACATAATACATATGTATACACATTAACCAACCATTGACCTTTTTCTGCCACGCTGCCGAACTTCCTCTAATTTATCTGCAATAACACATGCTTGAGGTCCAACAGTTTTCAGATATGATTCTAATATATCAGCATAAAACTCATCAGAATTTGGATGTGAGCTTGAAACTGCGCGCTCCAACACATACAAATCTACTGCTTTATCTTCTATAACAACATCTCTCTTTGATAAACCAAAGTCAATGAAACAGACACTGAAACTTCCATTGCCAGCAATATTGGGAAGTTCTTGTTTCAGTAACAAATTAGATGTAGTTAAATCACCGTGCACTAAATCATTTTTATGCAATTTAGCAACCCCCTCTCCAATTGTTTTGGCTAAAGGTGTTAAAGCATTAATACCACTGATGCCATGTTCTGTGAGAACAGATTTTAAATATTCTTTCACAGTAACGGCATTTGGAATTTCCTCAAAAATTATGCAACGAGAATTCAGATCAGCAAAGTAAACTAAAGGACAGTTTATACCAAGTTCGTAACATTTGTATAACGCTCTTACTTCAGCTCGCATGCGTTCCGAAGTAAGTGTCTTGTCGAGATCTGGATGACGATATTTTTTCTGAAATCTCTCCTTTAAAACTGCCGCTCTTCCTAAAAAAATTCCTCCATACACTTTTGCTTCAGATCCTTGGCTTTTCAACTCAAAGCCTTCTTTCAGTGATAAACAAAATGTATATTCTAATGCATTCATCTCTGAATTCATAAATTTTGCTGATATTTAAAATACGCACCACATGGCTTACTTGTTTGCTTGCTGCCAGATATGTCAGTATTAAGCCAGTAAAGAGACGCAGACATATTTAAAGTTTTCGTTACATGAAAAATCTTTTGAAACTGTTATTTTGATGTTGATTGATAGTAAATTTCACCATATCTATTTGCCACTTAAAAACTAGTTTTTTAGTATGAGACCAAAAGTGCAAAATTGAATATAATGGCATTTGTCTGTGCTGTGCTACATATTCATTACAACAAATATTATAATTTGATAAACACTCGCGCTCTGCGGGCAGAAAGACCTCACTTGCAAAACAAAACTTGTGTATTCTTGTCTGTCACGCGTGATATATTTAAAATGTCTAGAATTGTAAAATTTGCTAAAGTTTTACGCCGCAACTGGAAAAAATCAACATTCTTCTTTGGTGTGCTAGCATACGGCGCTTCATATGGAATTGAAAAATATAAGTAAGCCTCTGTCAAATGTAAAATTTGGCAAAAGTTAACATAGGCTGGCGCGCATTGTTTTTATAGAAAACTACCGATTTCGAGCCGATTACTTCGAAATCAGGGTTAGAAACAATACGTTATCTACATAAAGTTACGGATATGGAATCGTCATATAATGGCTTATGTGGTCTAAGAAAGGCGTTGATAAGCTAGGTAATAAAATTAAGCCTCTGACGGCAGCATGAGTTTGCATGTAAATTTACTAGAACGGTCAAGTTAAATGAAAGAAAGGGGGGCGAGACTATTATGTCCTCTATTACACGGATGCCAATCGGATGACGAGACATAAAAGTCACTTCATGCCTAAAGCAAAATACAAAATAAATAAAAAATCATACAGATAACCCCGGCAGGAACATGCTCGCGCATGGACCCTTTCCTGGGTCTTCCCTTGTGTAACGTCGATACGAGCCAGTTTTCCTTAAAATACCTCCATGGAGCATCCCTCCTTTCCGAATCACATAATAAATGGGTAAAAAATAAAAGTTAAACAAGCTAAATAGTTATTTACAGCTTAATTCAGAAATACAATAAATGAAATGAACTGTGTACAAAAAAGTACTGAACACAGTAATAATCAAGTCTGTTTAAAATTAACAAAACAGCAACCTTGTTTTGGCATAGATTTTGTATAAAACTACTCATTTCGTGAGCGATCAGACACAGGTTTCGCTTTCAATTCGAGCGTGATATCTAATTTGAAGTATAGTGAATAGAATATTTCAAATAAAACTAAACGTGAAACTATGTTTTGGGCTATTATGATACAAAAAATTTAAATATGAGGTCAATATATTCTAAAATCATTTGAATTTTAAGGCAAATTGTTAGGAAGACATCTGAAGTCAGTTTAATAGGTAATATTTCAAATGATTTTGGGATATTATAATACAAGAAGGCTATTTATGAGAATATTTAAAATAAAACAAAATGCAAGTTATATATTTTTTGTTGTAAGAAACAAAATGTTTCTTTAGCATTAAAATAATCCTGTAAATGTTTTTTTTTTTTATTATTATAAAACGGTTGGTGTTCAAATATTTTGAGTAAATTTTTTATTATAAAAGAGAACAGTATTGTTGAAAGAAGCAAAGTTTAACAGTGTAATCCTGTAAAAACGTTGTCATTATATGATGAAGTAGTAACATCATTAAAATGGATATAGAGCAGGCTAATAACTCCTCATTTAACCCACCGGGTGGCTCGCATTCAAATCTATTTACGTCTCGAAAACTGCAGTAAAAATTAACCATGTTTACAATTTTTTTTTTCATTTAGAGTGAACCAAAATTGTCCTGAAAACGGCCTTTGTTAGATTTTCTTCCCCCCTTCTTGTAGGGCGATCAACAAGTCGTTTCACTTAAGTGATGGTATCCTACTGTCCTTTGATTACCGCCTAGAGGCGATTAAACAGATGGGCTGCTTTTGCCCTTACGGAGGAAGGAACACGTTTTGTGTCCATGCTTTGGTTAGACGAAAAAAGATATTTTTTTCTGGAAATCCAAAACAGAAAAGGAAGTTTTGTATTGCCTTGTTACTAATTTTGTGCATATTTCTAATCTTAATTGCTTATCAGAGCCGTGCCAAGATATTTTTTCACCTGAGGCAGAAAGGTCAATGCGCGTCCATATAAATATAAAAATAGCTACACTTGTATTAAGCAAAAGTAATTGTATTAAATCAAAATGTCATCAACTCTTATAGCATAATTATACCATAATTCTTAAAGTATTTTTTTAATCGTAGTTTTATAAATTCAGAAAAATAATGTAGCCAATTATTTATAATTTTCAAATGAAAACGTTAAAAAATTCGTTTTTGATAAATAAGAAATAACACTGAAATGCATATTGCATTAATTTCCAGGTTTTCTTGCAATTTTTTTTGGTTTTGTTTTATTGATTTAAGTTTGACGAAGCCTATTTCCCCTAATAATTACTGACAAATTAAAAAACATAATTAAAGTAATTTTCGAATCGTATAGCCAATTTGGCGCCTCTTCTAGTGATTCGCCTGAGGCAAGTGTTCAGCCCTTGTTCCGCTTTGTTGCTTTTAAGTATAAATGTTATTGATTTTTATTGCGTTTCAGTATTTTAATGTACGTTTATAGAATGTTAATTTGTTTTTATATGCATATTTCAGTAATATAATCTTACGAACTAGTGAGACCAGTGTAGTTTAACTAATTTTCTGCTTTTGATTCATGTTAGCGAGCTTTAACGCTAAGAAAAAATTTATAAGAGGCTTAAAATACCTAATTCCTATTGAAAGCTACATGTAATTGATAATTAAATTACTACAGTCAAAAGTCGTTAATTTGGACACCCATAATTCGGAATGATCTATAATCCGGACCTCAAAACTAAAAACTCTGCGCATGCGCCGCGTTGACACATGCACATAGGCGTTTACGCGTGCGCGTTTTATGTACAATGAACATATAAGCTAAAATTATCTAATTATCTATTTCAGTTAATGTTGATGATTGCGTTGTTCCTTAATTTTCGAATTGGATCCGGCTTATTATTTTTTGCAGGCTGTAAGAGCAATTTTATAAAAGTAAGCTTAAACTTTCGATTATATCAAATAGAATTTCCGATATATATTGTTAATATGTAAAGGATCTAAAGCGAAAGTTTTTTGATCCGAAATCTGTTATCAATTTCACGCTTCGGCGGGGGGATCGCCGCTGAGGAATTGGAAGTTGATCTGTCAGCACTATCCTTATCTTCAGCGCAGATGTTTTTATTTTATTTGGCTTATAATTCCTTACCAAATGTAGTATTTCATCTCGATATGCTCCGTCTTTGATATGATTTAAAACAAGTTCCTCGTCATTATAATTTGCTTTCGATAGCGAAGAAAGTAACAGAGGTTATTGAAAACGAAAAAATTTCGATTGACAAATTAGTCGGTGTTCTCAACACAGCAATTATAGGACTTGAACAGTGGAACTTTGTAACTGAACAAGAAATTATGTCTGTTTAATAGAATTAAAGAGAAAGTATTATCACATGAAACGAAGCAAAACTTAAACAACTTACATTGAAAGAAATGTTTAATAAGTAAACACATATAGAGAGTCAGGAACCCTAATTTTGGTATTAAAATAACAAACACATGCTCAGTGTCAGTCATTTCGACATAATGTTTGTAATTCATTTTACCACAAATTTATTTCGTTTATCTTGTTTCATATTTATAAAAGGGGAGTTTACCTTTATCGCATTTATTGGTTGATAGAAGTTATGAAATATTGAATATTTTGAAACAAATTTCAGTCATAATAACCTTATTAAAATTTTCTACATATAGACAAGATGTCACAGATACCTCTCAGTTTCCGAACTAAATTACATGGTACTGAAATTCGGTGCATTTTCATATGATTATTTTTGACAGAAAGAGTTACCTTACGTAAATCACAAAAGAACATTGTTTTAATTCTTAATTAAATATAGCACTTGTATTAAATTGCTAAAATTCATTGTTAGGAAAATCTCGCTCTAAAAAATTAGACACTTTTACCTTTCAAAGTGGAATTTTTGTGGTTTTCTCTGTGCATAATGTGGGCGCGAGTAAGTTTTTCTTAGAATGTCCTCCACGGAGGCATTCCTCCCTTTAGGCAGATAGCTCTCGCGTGCTTTGAAGGAAAAATAAAGCAAACCAAAACAAAAGCTTCAAAATTGTGTTTTCAAACTTTTTTCAGTGCATATGTGGCAATCGAAAAAAACAATCATTCTGGCCAGGAGGCAGATTAATGGCTGAAAAATTCTTAGAATTTAAAAAGAGGCATCGAACAAGAAAATTTAGGGATGGCGAAATTCTAAGAATTTGGCACTTGACAACGGCAAAAGTTTTAGAATGTAGAGAGCTACAGAATTTAGGCAGGGCAAAATATTTTAAATTTATAGAACATCGGTCAGTAGAATTAAGATCCCACAGCGATTGCACTGAGAAACAAATCGACCTGCTTCTCGATTATGCGGATGGACGCAGATTAACTTCCGAAAGCTCAGTGAAGCAAGAGCTATACATAATGCAGCTATTTACGATTTCTGCTATAATAAACTGAAATTTAATATAATAATTTAACACTATATATCAGTTTACGAAAACATGATGATACTTTTGAGAAATTTTCTTTAATTCCCCAGTACACTAAAAAAAAAAAAAAAAAAAAAAAAAGTACAATAGATTATATAATGATATTACTAACAAAATGATGCCGATGACGCATTTAATTTTTATCTTTTTATTAATCTAAATAAATATGTCATTGAGTTTTCCATAACTTATAGTTTTGCAAATTAAAAATGTTCAATAATATAATATGTGATTATGGTATTATTGGTATATGGTACTATTCAAGGCAAAGCACACGAGGGTTATCTGCCTAAATGGAGGGATGCCTTCGTGGAGGACTTTCTAAGGGAAACTGGCTCGTATACACGTTACACATGGGGAAAACCACGAAAACGACCATGCAGCCAGCCCGTTCGCGGGATTCGAACCTCGGACCGAACTACCAGTGTTCAGCGTCTTTACCGCTCGGCCGCTGGTGGGTAATATGTGATTATGAAAGCTGTGTAAAAGAAGAAAAATTCTTGCACATTCGTCAGGCAGCATACGATGGGCACCTGCTTGAGGAAAAGGATGCGTTTGTAGATGACTTTTTCAGGGAAACTGGTTTGGTATATTCAACCTAAAATTCACCAAAATACCAAGCAACGAACGCATTCGCCGGAATTCAAACTTAGGCAAAACTACCAGTGTTCAGTTGCAAAAGAGAGTTAACAACATAAACAGGCAACATGTCTGAAATTAGTATTTATTGCATCCATCAGTGATATGATTTTCTGATATAATTTAATGGAATATCACTGTAAAAGAATGGGAATCTTTTTTTTTTTTTTTTCCTTTTGTAAGGAGATTTTTTTCCGCTTTGTTTTCAACAT